GATTTGCGTGAAATTAAAAAAAAAAAGACATTTTGTATTGTTCACATTGTTTGATTCAAATGGGGTATATACAGGAGCGTAGCGAGGGGCGGGGGGTATATACAACCAATGGAGATGTGTGGTTGCAGCCCTTTTGCTCCCCAGGGGCCACAAAGGAATGATGATGATGATGACAACCAAATTTTGAATAAATAACATCCTACACATGAGATTAATGCATATAAAACATTAAATAATTATTTAAAAAAAATGTATAATGAAATGTCCCAATTGTTTTCGCCTCGATACACTAAGCCCCAGCTTTTCCAATCATTCACAGCCCTCATGGTAAACCATCTCCTTACCCTCAGACCATCATCACATTTCATCATCATATTTCACATCTTTCCTTCAGAGATTACGTCAAACGTGCGCACCCTCTGCTGAATGGTGCCCTGGGGACGTGACGCGCAGGGAGGAGTACAAAACCTACACCCGTCACGTGTCAACCACTGGCCCAAACATGCTCAGGCAATGTTAGCGCCGATGGACAGCCAGATATTTTTGTCAAGCCATTGGTCGATCCAATGTACAGACATGTACAGTTACGTGTTATTTATCAAATTTTAGTATTTATCTCGCAGAAAATGTTTATTTTGTTACAAATTTAATTGATAAATTTGTGTTACTTTTTAACACTTAACATTTATGTGCCTTTGTTGTTTTTTTTTTAAAAAAAAAAAGCTCAGTATGTTTGTGTGTGTGTGTTTGTGTGTGTGTGTGTGTGTTCGCGTGTGTGTGTGTTCCACAAATCTTGGAGTCTTAATTTTAACCCCACCTTCCCATCGTCCGATTGAGCTGAAATTTGGCACAGTGGTAGACCTTGAATCTATCTAGCTAGATAGACAGTTAGTCATTAAAGTTTTATTTTAAAAAGTACTTTATTCGATAATAAAAGGGGAGATAACAAAAAAATTATATCGATCGCTCGTTCAGAGGTTGGTTGATTTTGTCAACGACGTACTAATTAAGGGTAGGTAATTTTCAGTTTTAGAGATCAAAAGCTAATGGTTTATTTTGTATCAATATCGTTTCTAACAAATTACTAAAAAGTTGGAAAAAAATCTCTCATAAAAAGTGAAAATTTTAATGAAAAAGGCTTTTTTTTTTTTAAATAATATTCGAAGATCACAAAAAACTCACAAATAAAAATTGCACGAAACTTTTTTTTACTTTTTCAGTTCATTAAAAAATATATATATTTGTGAATATAATTAAAGCTTTTTCTCTTTAAAATTATCATTTTTTATGTGGTATCTTAAAATAAAAGTAATAGTATGTACTAACATATAAATAATTAAGCCATACCTGGAATAATGAAAAATGTGCAAAAGGTCGCTGAAACAATCAAACAATGCATAGAGCAGTTTAACTAAATCACGCAGAAATACAGAGACCTCTTCCGGCATAAAACATACATATACAGAAACATACGACACACACAGGCACAAATACACACATATTCTACTTAAACCCTGACACTGCACTAGTTATCCTTAGTAACAAATGGAATTTAAATAAATCGGTAGTAATCTCCCCTAAACTTTCTCGACTGTTCTTAAATAGGCTAACACTAATAGGGATGGCGATTTCCTTCCTGTTTGGATATAGACATTTAAAAAATTAATTTTCAAGTACTTAAATTCTGTAAATAGAATAGAATCTCGAAGAAAAAAGAACTGCGTACCAAACTAACCGCAAATAATCTTTGTATAATAGTGCGGGGCATTAGTACTTCATAAAGAATCAAGTTGAAAATAAGTTCAAGCGCGCTTTTAGAGAAGTCGGAAAAAGCGTAAAGTACTACTTCCGGTCACCGGAAATTACTCATAAACTGTCAGAGCTAGATCTTCTACATATATGTGAAATTCCTTCTATCTAACCGAAAAAGTACTGAAGTTATAGGCTAAGTTATAGGCTTTCAAAAATCAGAAAGTAGAATAAGTTCCATTTTCCGTATACTCAAAATCACTGAAAAGTTGATACAGAACTACAAATTTGATATAATACTTATTTATTTATGAAATTTCGTCAACCTAGCTGAAACGGTACTCAAGTTATCTTGTTCACAGACAGACATTACAGAGAAAGAGAGAGAGAGAGAGAGAGAGAGAGAGAGAGAGAGAGAGAGAGAGAGAGAGACATACAGACACAATTGCAAAGTCCAGATTTTCCTACTCCATGACGCGTAAAACGCACCGATTTTGATAATTCTGGGTTTAAAATTTTTTGCCCAATTAAAATAAGTCCCCCCTATACACCGTATATGATGAAGTAGTGAGATGTAAAACAAACGGTAAAAACAGTCAAAATTGTATCTAGTTTTTGTGCACGATTACAATACTTCCTCTATACTCTGTATACGAGAAAGTTAAAATAGAGCAATCGAATCAAGCGCTGTGTTGTTACTATATGATTAACCAGATGCATAGCGAGGGGGGGGGGGGCGGATGACACCATT